GAAATTTCTTACTGATGGCAACACCATTAGTTGCTGCCTGGCCACCAGAGGCAACTAGGGGTATGTAATGGGTTATTAGGGTTCACCACTAAAGAATCTTTGGTTGTTCCACTTCTTTCCATGTTATTTTTCCAGGCCTACTGAAAAGAAGGTGGTGAAAATAAGTCCTCCGTCGTCTGCCAGTGAAGTACGTATGACATGTTTGCGTGCACTAATAATTTGATCGGAAGCCTCAGCCTACATATTTTACCACAAAGATGTGGAAGTGATGTCTGAGCTCTCACACACACACACGTAACTAGGAAAACACTAGGAAATTCTGTACAAGCAAGGGAATAAATTCAGTTTTTAATTTTACCTTCTGTTTAACAGAGACTACAGAAGAGAGCTGAACGTTTCAACTTGCCTGCTTCAGCAGAAAGCAAGAAAGCCATTCGTGCCGCACGGTGAGCCCTGAAAAAGCCTGTTCTGAGTGTCTTTTAAAGGATCATTCTAGTTTAGTACAAATCTTATTTCCAAGGTTCTGACTTTCCAAGGAGTTATATTATTAATTTAATACAACAAATACAACAAATACCACACCACTACAGCAGCGATTACTTTGAGTCCATCCATGCACTTTCTGCGGCTTATCCATAGCCAGGTTGTGTTGGCTGTGTGCTAAACAAGCTAGTCAGAGCTCCCTCTCCCCAGTATTCCAGCTCCTCCTGGTGGACCCTCACTTATTTGAATTCCTTTACTCAGAGTAGCAACTCACCCCCAACCCAGAAGGAGCAAACCACCATTTTGTGGCCTCAGACTTTGATACTGGTGTTGTCATAACTGAAAGAAATGATGCTCCTCCTGGTGGACCCTCACTTACTTGAATTCCTTTACTCAGAGTAGCAACTCACCCCCAACCCAGAAGGAGCAAACCACCATTTTGTGGCCTCAGACTTTGATACTGGTGTTGTCATAACTGAAAGAAATGATGGCCTAAAGTGATAATAAGACTGAAGTTGGTATAAACTGGACTTAATTTTCAAGTAAAAATTAGTGTACCCAGCCATGTTGACATTATTCTGCTTTTGTTCCTCAGGTTTGGTTTGCCTACTGCCTCCAGCCCCTCAGCAGGTCTGTAGTTACACTTTAACATGTTTTGCTAATGTTGAATGTTAAAGGTCTCATTTGTTTCCTACCTGCTGTTTGTCCCCCAAACAGGTCTCGTTGCAAACAGTAAAACTGCTGTAAGTGTTCCAAACCTCATTTGTACATCATTTAGCTGACACTTTTCTTTAGTCCGTCATTTAACTTGTTTTAACTTTTGTCTTACAATGTTTCTGTCACTAAGGTGAACATGGACAAGCTGAAGCAGAGAGCAGAAAGATTTGGCATGAATGTCTCGTCCATTTCACAAAAGGTGACTCTGAGCTCGTGCTTGTTCTCACAGTGCACACGGATTCATGTTGAGACTACACTCTAAAGGTGACTTTATGTTTCTCCAGTTTTTTGTTTACATCATATTTCTACCTGTTTTTCCAGATTGAGGAGGATGAGAAGCTGAAGAAGAGGAAGGAGAGGTTCGGGATCTTGATGGGTGCAGCTTCAGCTGGTGCAGACGACGTGGAGGTCACTTTTCCCCCTATTCCTTTGTTGTTGTTTGACTTGCCTGACAGTAGTAGCCTGCTGTATTTTGTCACAAAGCAGTTACACATGAGAAGACCAGAGTGAATGAATGAATGAAGAAAAAGAGAATGTATATTGATATCAGTGTTTTCTTGTTTCTCTACAGGCAAAGAAAATGAAACGTGCTGAAAGATTTGGGAATGTGTAAATACCGTTTTAGTTTTTTTCTTTTTGTAAAGTGTTTTTTTATGGCTTCAGAGATTTCTGAAGATGACAAACAACACCTAGGGTTCCTGTAAATCAAAAGTATAATTAAATACCTAGATAAATGGTGGAGTTAGATTATTGAAATGTTCAAAAAACAAAGTTTAAACAGTTCTTTATTATTTATTGAGCTTAACTGTTCCATTTATTGGAACATCATTTTTCTCAGTGCTGCGAAATAAGGGTGACTCTTTTCATTTCCCTGACTTTTGATGTGGGACCTAGAGGGCTGTGTGTACATGTGCGACTGAGAAGTTGCTAATTATCTTTTACTCTTCATTCTCGATTTTACTGCTCATCCAACAATAGGACCTTCGCTGCTGTCTGATTTGCTTCTCTTAGCTACACTTTGACAAAGCTGCAGTAAAGTCCATTTATTGAGTCTTTATCCAGCACACGGTCGGCCGTTGGTGGTTGGTCGAGCAACATCCTGCAGCTGCTTCACAGTCAAGGTCTTCCAGCTTGTTGTAGCACTTTAGGAACCAGTGAGGCTTTATTTGTTTAGAGATAGTCGTCATAATAATAATAGAAACAATGTTAAATTGTAACATCTCCTACATGATGCAGGGTCTGATACTAACCCAGAATCTAGATCTGCCCTCATCACCTGCAACAAGGCCCAGGAAATAGAAAGTGTGTAATATAAACCAAAACTAAACTGAGGAAGTTGGGTTGAAGAGCAAATGCATCAGGTTCAGGATAATAGAAAGTAAAGCCAGTATCTCTGTTTAAGTAATGTGGTTGAACTCATTTATTTGTAATCTTAATGTGTATTTACATGCTTGAAAGAATAAATCAAATCAAATCCAAACAAATATTTAACTGTACTTTTGATTTATCAGACAGCCTGTTATTTTTTTTTAATTTTTTTGTTTTTGTTTTTTGGGATTTCATTGGTACAATGCTTCAGTTATCTGTTCATTTTATAACATTTTGAGATTTAAAATAAAGTGTTTTCAACTTTTTGACATCTGTTTTCTTCAGTTCTTGCTCTTCTTTCTGTATATCTTTATTGTATCCACTTGGAAGTTGATGTAGAGAATCATTAACTTGAACTGATGTTAAGAGTGGATATTTTTAGTATTCACTTATTTATAATTTACATGCAGATTAATGGAAATATGTAGATATTTCAGTCAGTTTTGTCTCCTTCAGATATTAAGATACAGTGGGTACAGAAAGTATTCAGACGCCCTTAAATTTTTCACTCTTTGTTATATTGCAGCCATATGCTAAAATCATTTAAGTTCATTTTTTTCTCATTAATGTACACACAGCACCCCATATTGACAGAAAAACATAGAATGTTTGACATTTTTGCAGATTTATTAAAAAAGAAAAACTGAAATATCACATGGTCATAAGTATTCAGACCCTTTGCTGTGACACTCAAATATTTAACTTAGGTGCTGTCCATTTCTTCTGATCATCCCTGAGATGGTTCTACACCTTCATTTGAGTCCAGCTGTGTTTGATTATACTGATTGGACGTGATTAGGAAAGCCACACACCTGTCTATATAAGACCCTACAGCTCACAGTGCAGTTCAGAGCAAATGAGAATCATGAGGTCAAAGGAACTGCCTGAAGAGCTCAGAGACACAATTGTGGCAAGGCACAGATCTGGCCAAGGTTACAAAAAAAAATTCTGCTGCACTTAAGGTTCCTAAGAGCACAGTGGCCTCCATAATCCTTAAATGGAAGACGTTTGGGACGACCACAACCCTTCCTAGAGCTGGCCGTCCGGCCAAACTGAGCTATCGGGGGAGAAGAGCCTTGGTGAGAGAGGTACAGAAGAACCCAAAGATGACTGTGGCTGAGCTCCAGAGATGCAGTCGGGAGATGGGAGAAAGTTGTAAAAAGTCAACCATCACTGCAGCCCTCCACCAGTCGGGGCTTTAGGGCAGAGTGCCCCGACGGAAGCCTCTCCTCAGTGCAAGACACATGAAAGCCCGCATGGAATTTACTAAAAAACACCTGAAGGACTCCAAGATGGTGAGAAATAAGATTCTCTGGTCTGATGAGACCAAGATAGAACTTTTTGGCCTTAATTCTAAGCGGTATGTGTGGAGAAAACCAGGCACTGCTCATCACCTGTCCAATACAGTCCCAACAGTGAAGCATGGTGGTGGCAGCATCATGCTATGGGGGTGTTTTTCAGCTGCAGGGACAGGACGACTGGTTGCAATCGAGGGAAGGATGAATGCGGCCAAGTACAGGGATATCCTGGACGAAAACCTTCTCCAGAGGGCTCAGGACCTCAGACTGGGCCGAAGGTTCACCTTCAAACAAGACAATGACCCTAAGCACACAGCTAAAATAACGAAGGAGTGGCTTCACAACAACTCCGTGACTGTTCTTGAATGGCCCAGCCAGAGCCCTGACTTAAACCCAATTGAGCATCTCTGGAGAGACCTGAAAATGGCTGTCCACCAACGTTTACCATCCAACCTGACAGAACTGGAGAGGATCTGCAAGGAGGAATGGCAGAGGATCCCCAAATGCAGGTGTGAAAAACTTGTTGCATCATTCCCAAAAAGACTCATGGCTGTATTAGCTCCAAAGGGTGCTTCTACTAAATACTGAGCAAAGAAAATTTAAGGGGGTCTGAATACTTTCCGTACCCACTGTATACACCGTGGACTCATCCTCGGATCCGAATAAAATTATATACACTCCACATTTCTAACTGTGACTGGATATTAAGCCAGAGTCGCAGCAGTTCCCCTGTATTGAAACATTTACCATTCATTACTGTAGTAATCACTGTAAATAAAAACAATCTACCACACTTTAGAGGCATATGACTGATTTATGAACAATTTCTCATGTGATTGATCTTGTTGATAGAACATTCATATTATAATTGGAAGGTATGTGAATATTTGAGGATGATTGTAGTGCAATTGAAACAATTTCAAGGTTTAAAAATGGGCCTAAATGTAGTTTACAAATGATGTTTTGAATAAAAGATTAATATAGAGTCTGAACTTGCTTTAACAGCTTTTCGGTTACTATATTTGTCTACTACATGTTCAAATGTAGTCAGTAATAATGATAAGTGAGTCTGCAGTTCCGGGTTGCAAGCGAGAGCAGACATCTTTACTGCTCCTCTTGTCTGTTCTATGATTTTTCACATCTTCTACATTTTCAAGTCTTTGAACAAATTCTACAACTATTGAAATGCCTCCAAGAGGGAAAAGAGCTAATAAATCAGAAGCGAATGAGGATGTTGAAGCAGAAGAGGATTATATTTCAGCGGCGCAAGTAACAGAGATGTTGAGTCAGCAGAAGCAGATGTACACCGCTGTTTTGAGCCAACAACAAGACAACTTCAAAGGTTTTGTGCAACTACTTATGGAGACAAATAACAAGAGACTCGACGAC